GCAAATAAGCTGGCCAACTTTGAAGTTAGTCACAACTCACTCAAGAAGCATTGTCCCCATTTTGGGACCTTCCTGGGTGCGTGTATTTCAGACACCAACCTTTTTTGAAGGACATTGATGTAGCACAATTTTTACGGTGCCTCTAAGATAAGCTGATATTTTAGCTTCAGTAGGTTGTTGTAAACCAGTTTTTACTATTATATTTTTTTTGTTTCTTTCCATGTATGTAACTATTGTTTATTGAAGGGCTTAATATAAAATAACACACAAGGAATCTAGGGCAAATATCATAAGAGTACACTTATGAAAAACCATAGAGAAAACAATAGGGTAAAAACATTGAATACTATTATATTTCACTTTTATGCACACATTTAAAAACTTAATATCATTAGCACTATATATCCCTCTGTTTCCCCCTTCCTTGCTGCCTCCTCTGCCAATAAATGGTTAAAAGCCATTTATTTACTTACCCAATCCAAGAGATGATGTCTGTCGGTGATGGCTCAGCACAAATTTAAACCTCTTTAGTTTAGAAAAACATTGCCTCAGAGGGGATATGATAACATTATACAAATATATCCAGGGGCCAATACAAACCATTGTGTGGAAATCTATTCACAAACCGGACTTTACATAGGACACAAGGACATGCGTTTAGACTGGAAGAAAGAAGATTTTGTCTACGGCAAAGAAACATTTTTATTTACTGTAAAAATAACAAGGATGTGGAATTCTCTGCCTGATGAAGTGGTTTTATCAGAGTCCATAAAGATGTTCAAACAACAACTAGATGCATACTTGCAAAACCAGAATATTCAAGGATATAATTTTTCAGTGTAGGGTAATAGCTTGATCCAAGGATTAATCTGACTGCCATTCTGGGGTCAAGAAGGAATTTTTTTCCTAGTATGTTGCAAAATTGGAAGTGCTTCAAACTGGGGTTTTTTGCCTTCTTTTGGATCAACAGCAAAAAACAAATGTGAGGAAGGCTGTACTTAATGTACGCAAGTCTCTTTTCAGCTATGTAACTGTATAACTCTACCTCCTCCAACATCATGCAACAATGTGATCTAATGTGCAGCGAACGTTGCTAGTGCATTAGGCCTTCCTCATAGGAAATCCTTGAATCAATGTTTTCCTATTGGGTTTAATTGATGCATGATTTCCTTATGCAAAGCATGAGGATGTCCAGCGTCAGTTAGGCGACTAAAAGCCACTTAGAAAATAAATTGGGAGTGTGCATACACCATAAAACAAAGTGCCAATCAGATGATCTCTATGAGACCATCTGATTGACATAGTGGAGTTTTACATTGCCATTTTGGCAGAAGCAGCTCCAATGGCTGTCAGTATGACACCCACTAGAGGCATGTTAAACCTGCAGTGATAGCATTGCTGTTTCTGCCAAATGACAATGTGTTCAGCTGCAGGGTTACAACAGAGGCGACATAGCACCAAGTCCACTTCATTGAGTTGGAGTGGTCTGGGTACCTTAAAGTGTTCCTTTAAGAATATGCACCCAGACTACTTATATTGCAGTCCAACTAAAACAAAATGCTGTGAATATATCAGTTCTTGTAAATCTGTATCTTACTTTTCTGTAAATAGTTGATGTTAAGATTAATATTTCTCAATCATTGTACTTTTAAGACACTTGTCATATTGAGTATTTAAATATGTATTGCACATTTTTGATATGTCTAATTTCTCAGCTGGACTGGCAGTTGTTTTAACACTATTGTCATGTTTATAAATGTTGTTTTTTTTATATTTGAGATTTTATAAATATTATTGTAAATCAAATAATTTCAGTAAATGTAAAAAGAATAAATTACTATTTGCAAATACGTAAAAACAATCTAATAGTGACATTCTTTAACACAAAAAAACACATTTAATTTTTGGTATTTGCACTGCTTTTGTCTCCTTTATAGTAGTGTGTCAAAAACATGTTAACATGCCTAATATTCTAACAGTGGTATGAATAAACCTGAAAAACCCTAAACTGTCACATATTGATATTGATATAAATAAAATTACATTGTATAAGAGGCATAGCCAGAGCATAAATAGAATAGAATACACACTAATGAGCAGGATAACACACCTGAAAAACAGGGGGGATATCCTACTAAAATAGGGTAAAGTAGGAGATCTGAAATGGACTACTATAACCACTCACTGTAGAAATAGCTACCGCCTGAAACTATAAATAAGAAAAATGCAAGTGGAAGTTACTATGATGAAAATCAATAATAAAAACAGGAATACAGTGGAGATAGAATAGAAGTAGGGAAAATGACAAAGCTGAGATCTACTAAATGGTGAAACTGGAGGATATGTAAACTAGATGCTCATGCACAAGTTGAATCCAAAAAGATATGTCCTAAACATCAAAACTGCCTATTAAAATCGGACATTAGTAAGAACTAAATAAAATTGCAAATATTAGTGGTCAGTTAATAAAATTGTATCAGCTTGATTTCAGACTTATTACCTACTATGGTATAAGTAGAAGATAAATCTGATAAAGCTGAAAATAATAATATAGTATCGGTCTAATATCTTTTTATATGAGAAAACCGATACATAAATCAGGAATGATACAGCGCATGTATTAATTTGACACAGAGTAAAATCCGTGCAGCATGGTATGACCCAGAGAGGGTACTTTCTATTAAGATTTATTAAAGACAGATACTGTCAGTAAAAAATAGATAAAATCAAACTTGAACTCTCTGAAGCATCCAAATGTATAGCATGGAGTATCAGGTCAATATACTGCAGACCAGAAGATCTTTATAACTCCCTCCTGCAGGCTGGATCGGAGGAAGTCTGGGTCTCTGCAAGATGTTAGACACTGGATACCCACCGCATGAGTTCCAACTTGCTGCCAGAGCATAACATGCAAATTATTTGCACTCAAGGTGTGTTTACTGTAAGGTGTATAGACGTAAGTGGCACATGGAGACGGATTTACCAAAGGCCGCCGAGGCAAATGCCTTGGGGTGGCATAGAGGAAAAGGGTCAGCATACTAAAACTGTGCATCTTTGGTGGTGCAACAGGAGTGCTCAAGCGAGAAGGAGAAATAGCTCTTTCCTCTTCTACCCCCACCCGCAAACAGCCAAAGGAAGTGCAGGAGAGTGCACAGAGATGATGTCAACTTCATAATAGGATGCAAAAAATTACAAGTAAGCAAAAGGGAATAAGCGGTGGATGGTCAAAAAATAGGAGAGCAGGGGCAGAGCCTGGCTACTGAACAAGGCAGACGTGTGGTGCCTGAGCTCCCACACATGGCACCCAAAACTCGACAATAATCTAGAATAAATACCACATCTGGAAGCAGGGCACAATTAAGCCTGTGACTGAAACACTGGGGGTGCTGGAGACCCATTCTGTGGACCTCTACCCCGCTGGAAACCCTGATTCGAGGCCTTGCGGCCTACCAGTGACCGAGTGGAGGAGAGACGGCCGCTCTCCTACTGCTTCAACTGGCGGTGAGACATCTGACCAGTGCCGTCACCCCCCTTCCCCCGGACCAGCGGGGGTTGTCCCGGTCTCCCCTGGCTAGCACCATAACCAAAAGCTGCACTCAGTTGCCCGACACCAACCACAAGGCGCACCCGGCCACCTCACTTAAAATGGTGGACGTGTTCCCAGAACAGGGGTGCGAACTGCATAAATCAATGGATGATCGACCGGACTCGGTAAAAGTCATGCTACAACGCCTAGACTAACTGTTTGCAAAATTGTGGCACAAGATAGAGGCTCGAAAGTAGCTCGCACACCCTCTGCAACAAAGGAGAAGGAGAAGTCACGGGAACCGCACAAAGCCGGAGTCTCCCAGAGGCAAAGCACCCTCCAAAACACCAGGGCAACCTCGGCCTAACCTACCAAGATGAAAGGCGGTTCCAGTAACAACTGCAAAGCAATCTCCACGACGACAGAGTCGCAACACCCGCACCCGGATGAGGATCACCCCGGGGCTCTGCAGCATACCAACGGAGAGGGATCAGGCATATCCCATAGCCTGGCACCATGGATCCCAGATACGGGCCCCCCCCACAGACCAGGAAGGAGCGAGAAAACAACCCGACACACCTACATCTACCCCACATAGCGACACCCAGAGACTCTCCCAAAACACTGAGCAGAGGCATCGGCTGAATTCGCAACACCATCCGGGACGTGGTACCCGTAAATCTTTGGAACAAGTTTCCTTGTGCTGCACCCCTTCTATCAGTGCTGATGATGCCACTAAGTTAATTTAATTTTCTGTCACACCACAACCAATGTTTTAGTTACATGTCTCTATCTACACACACTCCATGACACATTGGGGCAACCCAGGGATCTACCTCACTAGCATTACTGTGACTGCTCACCCTAAAGGCTACTCACATAACGCATATTCGACATACCTGCACTACGCTATAATACTATAACTGTGTTATGCACATGCCCATACTGATGAACAGCCATGCAGGATGCTAGTTAAAATCTTGTACTTAGCCTAGTTAACAAAAGTCACTACCATGTTATATTCTCCATAAAAGGTAAAAGCCTACTATTCAACCTACTTAAACACACATCATCTACCATGTATAGACTACTAGTGATGCACCGAACGGTTCGCTGGCGAACAGTTCCTGGCGAACACATGCGCGGTTCGATCCGCCCCCTATTCGTCATCATTGAGTAAACTTTGACCCTGTACCTCACAGTCAGCAGACACATTCCAGCCAATTAGCAGCACACCCTCACTAGCAGACCCTCCCACCTACTGGACAGCATCCATTTTAGATTCATTCTCAAGCTGCATGCTTAGTGAGAGGAGGAAAAGTGTAGCTGCTGTTGATTAGATAGGGAAATGCATAGCTAGGTTAGGGTATACAGTGTCCACTACAGTCCTGAAGGACTCATCTGATCTCTGCTGTAAGGACAGCACCCCAAAAAGCCCTTTTTAGGGCTAGAACATCAGTCTGCTTTTTTTTTTTTTTCTGTTTAATGTAATTGCAGTTAGTTGTCTGCCACTGCTGCCAGCTTCTGTGTCAGGCTCACAGTGGATACTGTGCCCATTTGCCCAGTCAGTGCCACCACTCACTCACTGGTGTCACAATAGCTTGCATTTAAAAAGAAAAAACTTTTTTCAATGTTATAGATTGAATAGCAGTCAGTGTCCGTAAAGCGGGTGTGTCAGGCTCACAGTGGATACTGTGCCCATTTGCCCAGTGCCACCACTCATATCTGGTGTCACAATAGCTTAAGCTTGACATTTAAAAAGAAAAACATTTTTTTTCACTGTAATAGATTGAATAGCAGTCAGTATCCTTAAAGCGGGTGTCAGGCCTTCAGCGTGTGCTCTGCAGACCTCTGCCCGTGTACTTTGCCACTCATATCTGGTGTCTCTATAGCATGCTTTTACAAAGAAAAAAACTTTTTTCACTATTATAGATTGAATAGCAGTTAGTTGTCTCAAAGCGGTTGTGTCAGGCTCACAGTGGATACTGTGCCCAGTGCCACCACTTACTCACTGGTGTCACAATAGCTTGCATTTAAAACCAAAAAACTTTTTTCACTGTTAGATTGAATAGCAGTTAGTTGTCTCAAAGCGGGTGTGTCAGCCCTACAGCGTGTTCTCTGCCAGTTCACAGTGCCACTCATATCTGGTGTCACAATAGCTTGCATTTAAAAACAAAAAACTTTTTTCACTGTTATAGATTGAATAACAGTTAGTTGTCTCAAAGCAGGTGTGTCAGCCCTACAGCGTGTACTCTGCCAGTTTACAGTGCCACTCATATCTGGTGTCATAATAACTTGCATTTAAAAACAAAAAACTTTTTTCACTGTTATAGATTGAATAGCAGTTAGTTGTCTGCCAGCGGGTGTGTCAGGCTCACAGTGGATACTGTGCCCAGTGCCACCACTCACTCACTGGTACCCGGACGAAATTTCTTTTCACAAAAGGCAATCCCCAACCTATACTCGATTATGCAAAAGGAAATAATGGTATGTCTGGCACACAGTGTTGGGGCAAGGGTCCATCTGACCACTGATACCTGGTCTGCAAAGCATGGTCAGGCAGGTATATCACCTACACTGTGCATTGGGCAAACCTGCTGACGGCTGCCAAGCATGGAATGCGTGGCTCTGCAGAGGAGTTGGTGACACCGCCATGACTTGCAGGCAGGCCTGCTGCCACCTCCCCTACTCCTCCTACTCCATCCTCTTCCATAACCTCCTCGGCTGAGTCCTCTTCTGCTGCTGCGTCTTGCTCCACATCAACGGATAGGGGACGTAACAGGGATTAAACTGATAAAAATAGTACTAAACACACCACTCCTATCTGGTGGCACATTAGATTGCATGCGCAGTGCCCCAAATTTGTTGTGATCTGTGAGTAAGGTAAACGGTTGTCCATACAAGTAAGGTTGCAGCTTTTTGAGGGCCCACACCACTGCCAGGCACTCCTTTTCAATGGCAGTGTATCTACTTCCCTGGGCAAAAGTTTCTGGCTTAGATAAGCCCCGGGTTGCTCGCCGCCATCTGCTCCGACTTGGCTCAGTACTGCTCCCAATCCAAACATAGAAGCGTCTGTATGGACGAGAAAGCGTTTAGTTGGATCAGGAGCAGAAAGTACAGGTGATTTAATGAGCGCCGTCTTGAGCTGTTGGAAGGCCTGTTTACACTCTGGGGCCCATACTACTATCTTGGGGAGGTTTTTACGCGTTCCTATATGGCACTTACTGGGCTTTAGGGTCAGTCCAGCCTCCCTAATCCGGTCTAGTACGGCTCCTATGTGGGTCAGGTGTTCGGGCCAGGAGCAGCTAAAAATGGCTATATCATCCAAGTAGGCGCAGGCATACTCCTGAACAACATCCAGTAGCCGATATACCATCCTCTGAAAGTTAGCCGGGGCATTCTTCATCCCGAATGGCATGGCCTTAAACTGATACAAACGAGGTGACAAATGCCGACTTGTGGATGGCGTCCTCGGCTAATGGAATTTGCCAGTACCCCTTGCACAGAACTATTGTGGTGAGGTACTGGCCTCTGGCCATTTTGTCTAGGAGCTCATCTATCCAGGGCATAGGGT